TTTGTTATGGACTGAATATTTGTTTCCTCCCCAAATCTATATGTCGAGACCCTGACCCCCAGCGTGACAGCGTGACTGCATTTGAAGACAGGGCCTTTACAGAAGTGATTCATGTTAAATGCAGGTAGGAACTGATCTGATAGGGTTAGTGTTCCAGTTAGAGGGACACCTTAGAGCTTGCTTTTTCTCTCTCTCCATGTGTAGGCGCTGAGGAAGGGTCATATGAGGACATAACAAAAAGGCAGAGTCCCCCGCAGGCCAGCCTGAGCGCTCCTTCAGGAGCCCACCCTGCTGGCATCCTGATTACACGCTTCCAGCCTCCAGACTCTGAGCAAACAAATTGCTGTTGTTTAAGCTGCCCAGTGTCCGGTATTTCAGACTACACAGACTAAGACACCCCCTACTTGATGTCAAGAGAAAAAGACCTGTAAAATTATAGTCATATTTAGGCAAATGTATTGGCATCGCAGGGACACAGTAATACTAACCACACCTTTATGTGACAACAACTCCGTCGTGCTGAGTTGAAGCCAGCAGCCTGTTTTAACATCACCCTTATAGGACCAGTGTCTTGTCAGTGGTTTTTCCCCCCTCATATAGAGAAGCCTAATATATGGTCCTCTGACAAAAGAATTTTAGTGATAATATGCTTATCTTGCCATTCTTCCTTAATCTAAGTGGTCGTCTGAAAATCATGAAGACTTCGGGTTATATGGGTTGGACTTGATATCACTAGAAAAATTTCCTTTATGTTTTAATTCTCATCGTCATTGTTCCTGACACATATAGTGTTCACTTTAAACTACATATATAATAAAAGAAACTGGAAAAGCCCTCACATAGCAACTTCTTTAAAGAGAATGAATTTCGAAACTGTCAAACGTGTGATTTTTCTAAACCTTTGTCAGTTTAAAGCTCTCTACCTTTCTGCCCCGACTCTCCCCAAACCCAACTCAAAATGCTTCCCTCACATATTGAAGGTGGGATTCAGATTTTAGGGGCGAGATCTAATTTTATAATGGCACAAGATTATCAAATTCAGTTGAAAAATTTTTATACATTGACAGTTGTAAACCAGTGGCCTTTAGGCCAAATCTGGCCTGCACCTGTGGTTTGTTTGATCAGCACAGCCTGTGACAAAAATTGAGTTTGAATGCCTTTAAGGTGCGACTCTCCTCCATTCTGGCTGCATCTTTGCTTGTCTCTTCCCCAGGCTCTTGTCTACTCGCCTAAAGGCATTTGAGATTACAACCCCTCCTCTGTATTGAGGTGATGTGTTTTATAATTAAAGTTTTCATTGAAATAAACTACATAAAATGCCCAAATCATAAGTATATACTTTGGCAAATTATGGCCAAGAGAATGCATCCATGTAACTCTGATCAGGGTTCATAAATACAACACTACTAGCACCAGAGGCCTGTCTTCGTTTGTGTTTCCCCCAAAGCAAATTCTAAGACAAAACTCATCATAAGGTAGACATTGAAAGAGGAGCAAAAGTAGAAAAGTGAAGATAAGACACAAGGCCGGGGCAAGGTAAATCGAGGAGTTTTGGGGGGAGCTAAAAATTTTGAAAATATATAATATTCGATTTTAAGGTATTTGCTTTTCTATGACACAATCTACTTTTGTTGCTTGAAACATTTGGTAGAGTCTTTTAGACATAAAAAGTCATGTTTCTGTGGATGATTTTAAAGAAAACAAAAGGAAGCTGAGTGCCTCGTTAGAGTTGGCCTAGAATAAACAAACAAACAAACAAACAAAAAAACCAACTAGGGAAAGTGAGATGCCCACGAGAGAGAGAGCTCAAGTTCAGTGGCATTAAGAACCAGAAGTCATGAGGAAGAATATTTGTCCAGAAACTTGAAGAAGTCTTGGGGAGGATAATGACATGGGATAGGGAACTCAGATCAAAGTTGTGTAAATCTCAAAGAATAATATCCTTCGCTGATACCCGAGTAAACTTTATAGACTTACTCAAGACTCAGATATGTATCCTCTACTCCCCTACTGAAAGATCTGAAATCATAGGGAAATGGAAATGGAGGAAATATTAATATCTTAAATAAGAAGTTAGTTCAATTTTAGACCCTTGGCAAAGCTTATCTCTCCAAGAATTCTTCACTTGAAATACTCTTGATCTGACCCATTGGGTTTTTCCAAGAGGGAAATAACAATTAAACAGCCTATTTAGAACATTCATGAGAAATTAAGTCTAGGTTAATGCAGCAGATTATGGATTTGAATAGAACACACAACTTTTCTCTTTGGCAATAGATGGCGAAATTCCAATTATTCACTTATTGGTTAATTTTGACAGCTCTTTAAATTCCAAGCTGATATTCTTGCCGTCTCTAAATTCTTACACTCTCAAAGCAGAGGTGGCTCTGTAGAGTGTTGGTCATGACATGGTAATTGAAGGGATATAATGAAAGGAAGTTATTGCATCCTCATTAGGGATTTTGCATCTCAGCGTTTGCTGGATATTCCCAATTACCCTTTACTGCTGCAATCACAGGAAAGGACAATGGGGCTCCTGTTTGTAAGAAAGATCGATGGAGTTCTCTCCCATCCCAAGTCTCACCTTTGTGACTCAGGGTCCTCTTATCATCTCTATATTTCTTAATAGTGCCCTGTTTTTCAACCCGGTCACTGGAGCCCAGCTCAAATAGATGGGGTTGCTACTTTTTGTTGGAGAGAGGGGTGGAAAATTTCAGGTTATCAACAACGCATGGCCAAGATTCTCTGGTAAGTTACAGTGTTGTATTTTTTTATATAATTGTGGCTCAAGACTAAATTCTCAGGCACTCTCTGATGCTCTTACTGCAACAAAGTACAACCTGACAAGGTTGAAATGCACCAAACAGCTTTCTGACAGCCATCTACCATTGCTCCTTGTTAGCACTTAACACTTAAAAAATTTTTTTTTTTTTTTGCATTTGCTTTACACTCTGATTTAAATTAAACTCACACGACAGATATCATGTTCCCAGAGCCCAGGACTCCAAGTCTGTCTTAGGCTAGACCTTCTGGGAATCACATCTGCCCACTCCCTTCTCTGGCTCCCTCTTTGGATGTGTTTTCCTTTCGAACATGAGCCCTACCAATTTGAACTTGACCCATCTCTCTGGGGGTCTGTCTTTCATAGATCCTTGTTTAACATGAGAATGTTTTACCTTTTCCCCTCTAGGTGTAATGTGTTCATGCTTTGACTCTACTGGCTGTTCCCCAAATCCACATTTAAGTATCCTGATCCTGGTTATTATCTCATGTCCTTATGGCATGCCCACCGGCGGTCACTTACATTTCGTAAGCAATGCCCACAAACTTAAATTGGCAAGGTACTTGAGACTTCACATTTATTATTAAATAGAGCTATTTCTGGCCCCTTTTCTGGGATCTATTCTATAAGCTCATAATATGCTATGATACTGTAATATCACCTTAGTCAACGATGGAGTCTGGTATATAGGGAGAGTGGAACCCTCTAGAACCTTTTGGTGGCCCTGATTGGTATTTTCACATCTGTTGTATAGTGAGTTATTTTTGTAATGGAATCTTACGGGTGTTTAAATGTGTTCAATTCGTTGGAAGAAACATTCAAATATGGGTTTTACGTCCCTGTAGAAATGACTTCCAAATTTGCTGATGCCGTTTGGACTGATAGTCTACTATTTCCAGGGGTAAAGTCATTGAAAGTGAGGAGCCAGAGGAATTTTACACACAGCTCATTCCTCTCCCTCCTGCACAGTTTCTCACCTGTGACAGCCAGCTGAGTCACAAAGAAGGTCATTCTCGACTTCCTCTTCCTCCTCCACGTGGAGAACAGCACGATGGCGTTTCCAACAATGGTGAAAACGAAGAGGACCCACAGAGTTATCAACTGCTCAGTCTGTGGGAAACAAAGCAACACAAAACCACTGTCCTTTACAGAATCAAGGCTCAGGCTTCGGCGCTGGGAGGTCATTCTCCTGTCTCAGATCCCTGCCTGTCCAAGCTTTACTCTCCAGAGACCAAAGACACGTGGTCCTTATTTACACCGATAGCAGTGGATTTTGATGCTACTTTTAAAAAAAATCTCTTTGGAAATATATGTCAAGAGACCAAAAGAGTATATATTCTTTGGCTGAGCAATTTTAAATCTACGTGAAAGAATTCAAGGTCTGAAAAAGAGCGCTATAATTGCAAAGATGGTGTATTTACTGTAAGAAGAAATTGGAAATTGTTTAAAGATAACAGGAGAGTTAGGGAAATAAAATGCTTCAAATTCAGTGAACTATTTTGTAGCTATTAACAATGACCGCCATAAAGATTATGTACTAACATTTAAAATGCTTATAATGATAGGTAGAAAAACATGATAAAATTATATATTGGATATGATGACAACTCTAAAATTATACATGTAGGAAAAAGACTGAAGTACCCTAAAATGTTAATAGTGGTTATTTTAGGGTAGTGTGATTATGGGTTATCTTAATCATTTTCCTTTGATAGAATTTTAAAATGGTAGAGTTCTACCGAATAAGATATAGTTAGTAAAAACAAAAACAAAAACAAAACAAAAAAAAAAAGGAAAAAGTAGGACTGCTTCTCATTTAAAAATGCCACGTCGTTCACAACGTTTTCCATGATTCCTTCAGATTTGGGCAGAACCTTGGCAAGACTGCACGAGGGAGGCTCAGACCAATTCTGAAAAGTCTGAAGTGCTTCTCCTGCTTGGAGGAGACGAGGAGGAGAACCTGAAAAAAACCCCTCGAGACGGCGACGTGCTCTGCGTCAACCTGGCTAGGATGCGGTGCCCAGTTTGTGGCACACCCGTGTGAGACATTACTGTGAGGGTATTTTGTAGATATAATTAACATCTACAGCCACCTGACTTTAAATGAAGCAGGTTACCTTCCATTGCATGAGTGGGCCTCTTCCAAGCTGAGGTTTCTCAAAGAAGAAGGAATTCTTGCTCAAGAATTCCTCCAGGAACATAGAAATCTTGCCCGTTTCCTGCTGCTCCCTTTATGGATTTCAGACTCGCCAGCCATCAGAATCATGAGAGCAAATTCTTTAAAATGTGAATGCGCGCGCGCGCGCGCGCACACACACACACACACACACCCATAGCAAGTAAATAGTATTTGTGTGTGTGTGGATATCAGTTCAATTTTTACTGTACTCTACATATTGTGCAACTTGCTTTTTCAGTCTGTTGGAAGAAGGAATGGCTGAATAAAAGGTGATACTTTCATACAATGGAGTAAAATATGTCAATGAAAAGAAATGGATTAAATTTACTGAAGAGGCAGGGAAGCATAAGGACCAGAGAGGCGAGGGGGCCCATGTGCGCACTGAGTCAGCTCGGGTTCCCTTAGCCCCAGTTCTCAAGCATAGCGTGACTGGGGGGCCCTTGGGTTGCTGGGTGGATACCTACACCTGCTCTGCCAGGTTCCAGAGCTGGGGGAAGGTCTCGAAATTGCTCCTCCAGCCATTTTCCCATCTAGAAGTCCAGGCTGGAGCTGACATCTCCACGAGACCTGTACTTTGTCATGCTGTTATTAAGTTCTCCAGGTGGATTTCCAGGTGGATTCCTGAGGTCCTGGCCTTGAGCTGCAGAATGCTGGGAGTTGGGGAGGATGGGCGTTGCGGGGTGCCAAGGGCAGGGTGGATCCACAACTGGACGGGGGCACGACCACAGGGTCGATGACCTCTACTACTTTGAAAGGTGGCAGATACCTCGTCCCCAGCCTGCTTACATCACCTCCCATTTGGAGGGCAGTCTTTGCTCAGTGCCAGGCCATGTCCATTTTCTCTAGTCCTTTTCTGACCCGCGGGATGCCTGTCTTCCAGACGGTTCATTTCTCTAGGAGGCTAGATGGGGGCGGCATTGAGAAAGCATCAAGTAGGGAACCTAAGTATTATGAAAAGCGCTATTCTGAGTGGAGCAAGGGAATGAGTTTTCGTAAGAGAATTCTCTCCTCTGAGAAAGATGGACGACTGTGCTGTCAGGCGCAGATACAGCAGGGCAGGCTTTCGAGGTGCCGTGCTGACGTTTGCCATTCAGTAGCTGGTGTGTAGGTGGTGGGATATAAATAACTGGTTTGAACTTGGATGACCTACCTTTGAAAACCAAAGAGCAACTTGGGGACCAGTGTAAGAAACTAGGTGGCTTGACGTCCCTGTTAGCAGAGGTCTCACTGACACCACGGTGCTGATAGGTGACGCAGCTGAGGGCCAGGGAGGAGGTGTAGCATCTCTGACCCCTCTGCAGTCCTAGTGGGACTCTGGGGAAGATGGTGGTGTCCTGGGAAAAGATGACGGGACTGGGAGTGTGGCGGGCATGGGAGGGCGAAGTGCTTTCAAGCCCCGCTGAACGCGCGAATGATGGATTTTCTAAGATTTTCTCCTGTATCTTTCGGTGACTCTGTTTCATAGGAGAAGTATTTCAATGCTTTTGGTTAATTTCTTTTTTTTTCTAATTACAGAACACAGTATCATGTCCAGCAAATTTTCTCAGCCTGGGTGGTGGTGGAGCGCGGTTCATCCTCATATTCGTCCAGTACCGAATCGACCTCTGTTGAAGCCTTTCAGCATCAGGGGAAGAAGGGAGGGAAAAGTTAGGATGTTTGTGATGTCTCTTTGCCAGATCAGAAAGCCAGATCTCCATCATCTGGTGAGTGGGGAGAGAGCGATGTCTGGAAGCAAAGAAGTGGGCAGCTACTCTGCGGGCCACGGTAGGTTTTCTGGAAGGTAGTGGACACGGAGTTGTTTTTCTGACGGAGACTGTCTTCTCCAGCACCGCCCATGGCTCTGCCCAGCTGCCCACGTTCCTCTAGCTGGAAGAAAACGGTTGACCAGCAGTCTCCTCTGGGAGGGCTGCAGCCTTTGGCGAACTTGCAACAGAACTCTGCTCGCTGGAGGCCTACACCTGCCTCAGCCTCTAGGTTCTGTGTAGTGGAATCCCCCGGGGGCTGACCTCCCCTCCCCTGATTCTCGAGGGAGACCAGGGAGACCCTTTTTGCATATTAAAACTTACTTCACAGTGAGTCTGTCTGCCCTGCCCTCAGAATGTCTTATCTACTCTACACCTGACGGAGATTCCTCTAACTTTCCAGCAGGCATGTGCCTACCTTCCACTTCTCACACAGAACTTTTCCAACTAAAGTTACACTCTGAAGGCCTTTGGGACGAGAACTGGGAGGAGGAGGAGACCAGATCACGTGAACTCGGGCAAGCTGGAGAAGTCACCTTTCTTCCCAGACTCTCTCTCTACTCACTCCTCTGTCTTCGCATCACTAGCTGCCTGTGGTGTCAGAGGCCACATCTCCAGAAAAGCAACACTGAGGCAGGTAAACGGTTCGTTTTTCGCACGGCACGTTGGCGATTACGCTGCTGGCACTGAAATTCAGGTTTCCAGAAATCAAGGCTCTTTCTCACGGAGGAGCCGCCGCCTCCCGGGGGGCATGGAGTGGCCGCTTTCTTTGTTTTCATACTGCACCCTCCCGACCCAGGCAGCCGACATCTGCTCTGCCGAGAGCAGAGTGACAAACGCTGCAGATCAGATCCCCCAGGCAGCTGTGTCAGGAGTCAGAGTCGGGCCTGGGGAGGGCTGGCGCCGTCTGCGCTGAGCCTTCTTCTGAGGAGCTGGCGGGACCCGTGCTGTGGGCCAGTGGACCCAAGGTGCTCTGTAAACGGGTCGATTCTCCTTGGAACTGGATGGTGCCCGCGGGGCAGGCTGAGCAAGCCCTGTGAAATCAGCCCCCTCCCCTCACTTTGGAGTTTTCTGTTGGAAGACCACCTCATCTTACCTCATAGGTTTCAGAAATTTCCAGATGGAGGAAGTCCCCCCTGCCCCGCACTACTGTTGCTTTCTGGAGTCTTCCTAAAACCTAGGTTTATTTATTTGTGTATCAGTTCATTCAACATCAATTCATGGTCTGCAGTGCAAAGACGTTGACGCGACAAGGGAGAATAAAACATGCAGAGTGTATAAATTATACTCGGCCAAGTTTAAATCCTGTTTCATCAAGCAGGGCCATTAAGTATGAAAAGACTTAGTTGTGCTTTGAATTCGTAGCATATTCTTACCCATATACGCACAAACACGCAAACACACACGAATCTTAGGGCAATGTGGGGACTTGGGGAATGATGGCGATGGGAATCGGGCAAACAAACTTGGAGGCACTCGCGCATCACACGTAGGTGAGCGACTTGGTGTCAGTGTGGGTAGGTGTGAACTTGACAGCGGTCTGGCTCAGGATCAGATGCTTTGCTACTTGCTTGATGTGTGATAACATCGGTAAGTGATAACCTCTCCCAGCCTATTTTCTCATTTATAAAATAAGGATAAAAATAAAATCTGCCTCAGGATACTTGTGATGAATAGGTATCATGATGACAATGGAGATTTCTAGTTTAGTGCCTGAAGCGTAGTATTACACGCAATAAAAACTGGTTTTATCGCCTTCCTTAGTTTCATGGACTGCCTAAAGGTTTGAGAAGTGATTTATAAATAACTCACAACCTTTTAAGGATGATGCTTGAATTCACCCTGTTTATCCTATTTTCACCTTACTTCGCAGGCTTTGGGAGGTGCTGGACAGGCACTGCACCTGCACCCCCTCCACCCAGGTACTGATGGTGCCCCAACACCGTTTTCAGATCGATTGCAGAATATAGTTGGGGATTAAATGCCCCCTAGTGGTCATGTGAGGCAAAATTCCAGTCAAATGCTCAATACTGAGTAGAAGACATGAAATTTGCAATTTCTCAATGACGAAAGACTAGATAGAGTCTTTTCAACTCTGTTACATGGTTGCAGGCTCATGGCTAATTGGTTTTCAACCTCAAGTTATTGAGACCAGGAAGTGGCATCAGCAATATTCAGATCAGAAAATT